CATTTTAAAAAGTTGGCGTCCTAAAAGTGGGGGAAGATACAGTCATCAAGTACCTGGCTTACATGTTTTCCTGGATGAGGGGAACAAGGGAGCACTCCCCTCCCCTCCCAGAAAAATGACACTAGAATCAGTTACAGAAGAAGTATTGCCAAAAATGTCTGGAGTAAAGGAGATGTGATCAGGTAGCTGGGGAACCTCCCAGAGTGACTTTTATAGAAAACACACATTGGATGTATAAATTAGAATATATTTTTGTGAATTTTTGTTTTACTTCTTTCTAAAGTTTATGTCTAGGGAATCTCATCATTAGAAATAAAATCCTCTTAGTGGGCTTGTGAAAGTAATAGATTATTCCGATTACTCCTTGTTTGGTTTTTTCCCAGAAAAGTTAATTGTTCACCTGGTTAGTCTGTGACATGAAAGGAGCTTTTGATTCTGTTGATTCTTGATTCCCAGTCCAGTGCTTTTAGCTTTGTGAATATCACCTCCAAGGGCCATCAACTTTGCCCCATCTTCCCAGGTACCTCGCTGAGTGGATGGTCTATGGTTATCCCTCAGAAAATGTCTGGGATTTGGATTTGAAACGTTTTGGAACCCTCCAGAGCAGCCGTACCTTTCTGCGTCACCGAGTCATGGAAGTCATGCGTAAGTGAAGCTTCATCCAGTCCCTCCTTGGTGCAGAGGTCTTTCAGAAGGACAGGCGTCTCAGTTTTCTAATAACTCCGAGTTTTCTTGCAGATATTTGACTCTTTCAGGCTTTCTGGGAACAGGAGAGTAGATTAATATTTACAGATGATATTTCCTTGGAAGTTCCCAGCACTGCTTCGTTCTCACTTTGCCTTGAAAGACCTCCTATCAGAGTGCATGTTCTCTCACTCCTTGCTTGGTCTTCAAGATCACTACTTGCTTTGCAAGGCAGAGAATATGCCGAGTTCTCAAAGCTGAAGGCTTCCGTAGTGACTGTGTCTCCACTACATGACTTCTCATGTATGTACAAACTATACTGTGCTAGTCCAGGTTGACTAGATAAACAAATCATATATGTATAAGGACACTCATCTATGTGTAAGAGAGAGCTTTATATAAAAGAGCAATTGTATATCGAGAAAACATCCCAACCCAGTCCAGATTGTCCATAACTTCAATATTTGCCCTATGTTCGATACTAGTCCATAAATTCCTTTTTAGACTCAACACAGCACATGCAATGATGCCGAATGCAGGAAGGACACAAGCTTGTGGGTGAAAAGTCTTGTGGATCCAATGGCAGTGAGAAGCATCTCCAGGGCTCTGGCTGCCATTAGCATGGCTCCATGTGACTTGTCAACAGGAATGTGTAGCAAAGAGAGAGGCGTGTTCCACCTCCAGGCAGGAAGAGAGGAAGTTTCTAGAATCCTCATGAGAAGGCTGTGCTCATAAGGAGGCATCAGGCTAGACTCCACTCCTTCACGCTTTAATGTCCTCAAGTTGACATGAGATTATGTAACTGCCACACATACACTCTTGCCCTCTTGCCCTTTGCTTGCACTTAGCTCCATCTTCACTTAACTTCTTTTGCTACCTTTCCACTAAGCCCTTAGGAACAGATTTTGTATTAGGAGTTGAACCAGAACAGGTAGGCTTTAACAGGTTGCAATTTCTCCTATTCTTAGGCTTCACCAAATGTCTCTAAATATTTAGAGTCTGTTTTTGCTCAGAATTAAATTTATATATTGGTCACCTTTGTTGGTTAAGAATGACCTACTGGTTCTATAACTGGATCACATTCATGAGAGACCTTTGAAGAGTCTCTGGCATCTGGGTACTTGTCTTGGCAGAAAGCTTAGCATCAGTGGGAGATGAAGGACCTGGAGGCAGTATATGTCTCTGTTAAGGTCCTTTATTGTTAGCAAACAGTTTCGTTTAAACATTAAACCATATTGTAAGTCTAGACTTCACTACCCACAATTACTTTATAATCAATGAAAATCATAAATGAGCTTGGACTTTTCCTTAGTGTTATGACACTTTGGATGACCTCCTGATTCTCACACGGTGAGGCAAACAATGCAGACATCAGAGAAAGTGGAGGAGGGAAGAGGGAAAAGTAGAGCATGAAGTACAGAGACTCACAGTCTTCATTGTCACCGGCGTGGTGGCTTCCTTCTCTGGCCACCTTTGTGCCATGTGTGTGTAAGGGCATCTTTAGCAAAGACTAGCGGACACACTCTTTCTGGCTGACTGCTGTTGCAGATTGGACATTCGGAGAAATAAATAGTCTTAATAAAGTGAATAATGTTACTGGGACTATCCTCTGTGACTTTCAGATATCAGAGCAGCCAGATACAAATAGGATAGATAGGTGCCCTTTCACTCCAGAGATGGATCTGAGGGCCCAACCGCACAGACACGGCAAAGAAGCCAGTACCCTGTTTTCCCACTATGGAAATGTCCGGGTCTCACCTCATCTCTGAGGTGGAGCTTAGGACATTTTATTTTACGTTTTTTTTAAATCATTTTATTGGGGGTTCATACAGTTCTTATTACTACATTCCATACATTCATCCATTGTGTCAAGCACATTTGTACATATGTTGCCATCATTTTCAAAACATTGTCTTTCTATTGGAGCCCCTGGTATGAGCTGCTCATCCCCCCCCCCCATGAACCCTTGATAATTTATATTACTATTTTTTTCATATCTTACACTGACCAATGTCTCCCTTCACCCACTCTTCTGTTGTCCATCCCCCTGGGAGGGAGTTATATGTCAATCATTGTAATCGATTCTCCCTTCCTCCCCGCTCTTCCCCTTTCCCTCCCGGAATCGCTACTCTTATTATTGGTCCTGAGGGGTTCATCTGCCCTGGATTCCCTGTGTTTCCAGCTCTTATCTGTACCTGTGTACATGCTCTGATCTAGCCTGATTGTAGGTTAGAATTGGGGTCATGATAAAAAAACTAGAAGAAAGCTGTATGTTTCATCGGTGCTATCCTGCACCCTGACTGGCTCGTCTCTCCTTTGTGACCCTACTGTAAGGGGATGTCCAATTGTCTACAGATGGGCTTTGGGTCTCCACTACACCCTCCCCCTCATTCACATTGATATGATTTTTTTTTCCGGGTCTTTGATGCCCGATACCTGATCCAATCGACATATCATCATCATCACAGGCTGGTGTGCTTCTTCCATGTGAACTTTGTTGCTTCTCAGCTGGATGGACGCTTGTTTATCTTCAAGCCTTTAAAACCTCAGATGCTATGTTTTTTTGCTTAGGACATGTAGAACCATGGCTTTTGCCTCCTGGTTTGGAAATCTAGTTGTGAATAGAGACCTTGAGTTGTTATGTGACTCGTAGCTCTATAACTTGTGGAGGAATCATGCCAGCTCTTGGGATAATGCTTTTCCTGGAGCATGCCCGTTATGTGTGATAGTGTTTGGAATAATGCTTCTCCTGGAGCATGCC